AGTAGCATAGAATCAATTTATGTATACAAGGGACTGTTACCTCCACAGTAGCCTAGAATTCATGTGTTCCAAGGTCTGAAACCTCCACAGTAGTCTAGAATCCATATATGTATTACAAGGTCTGTTACTACACAGTAGCTAGAATCCATGTGTTCCAAGGTCTGAAACCTCCACAGTAGCCTAGAATCCATGTGTTCCAAGGTCTGTTACCTCTACAGTAGCCTAGAATCCATGTATTACAAGGTCTGTTACCTCTACAGTAGCCTAGAATCCATGTATTACAAGGTGTGTTACCTCTACAGTAGCCGAGAATCCATGTGTTCCAGGTCTGAAACCTCCACAGTAGCCTAGAATCCATATATGTATTACAAGGTCTGTTACCTCTACAGTGGCCTAGAATCCATGTGTTCCAAGGTCTGAAACCTCCACAGTAGCCTAGAATCAATTTATGTATTACAAGGACTGTTACCTCCACAGTAGCCTAGAATTCATTTGTTCCAAGGTCTGAAACCTCCACAGTAGTCTAGAATCCATATATGTATTACAAGGTCTGTTACCTCCACAGTAACCTAGAATCCATGTGTTCCAAGGCCTGAAACCTCCACAGTAGCCTAGAATCAATTTATGTATTACAAGGACTGTTACCTACACAGTAGCCTAGAATCCATGTGTTCCAAGGCCTGAAACCTCCACAGTAGCCTAGAATCAATTTATGTATTACAAGGACTGTTACCTACACAGTAGCCTAGAATCCATGTGTTCCAAGGCCTGAAACCTCCACAGTAGCCTAGAATCAATTTATGTATTACAAGGACTGTTACCTCCACAGTAACCTAGAATCCATGTGTTCCAAGGCCTGAAACCTCCACAGTAGCCTAGAATCAATTTATGTATTACAAGGACTGTTACCTACACAGTAGCCTAGAATCCATGTGTTCCAAGGTCTGAAACCTCCACAGTAGCCTAGAATCCATGTGTTCCAAGGTCTGTTACCTCTACAGTAGCCTAGAATCCATATATGTATATAAGGTCTGTTACCTCCACAGTAACCTAGAATCCATGTGTTCCAAGGCCTGAAACCTCCACAGTAGCCTAGAATCAATTTATGTATTACAAGGACTATTACCTCCACAGTAGCCTAGAATCCATGTGTCCCAAAGTCTGAAACCTCCACAGTAGCCAAGAATCCATATATGTATTACAAGGTCTGTTACCTCTACAGTAGCCTAGAATCCATGTGTTCCAAGGTCTGAAACCTCCAAAGTAGCCTAGAATCCATATATGTATATAAGGTCTGTTACCTCCACAGTAACCTAGAATCCATGTGTTCCAAGGCCTGAAACCTCCACAGTAGCCTAGAATCAATTTATGTATTACAAGGACTATTACCTCCACAGTAGCCTAGAATCCATGTGTCCCAAAGTTTGAAACCTCCACAGTAGCCAAGAATCCATATATGTATTACAAGGTCTGTTACCTCTACAGTAGCCTAGAATCCATGTGTTCCAAGGTCTGAAACCTCCAAAGTAGCCTAGAATCCATATATGTATATAAGGTCTGTTACCTCCACAGTAACCTAGAATCCATGTGTTCCAATGCCTGAAACCTCCGCAGTAGCCTAGAATCAATTTATGTATTACAAGGACTGTTACCTACACAGTAGCCTAGAATCCATGTGTTCCAAGGTCTGAAACCTCCACAGTAGTCTAGAATCCATATATGTATTACAAGGTCTGTTACCTACACAGTAGCCTAGAATCCATGTGTTCCAAGGTCTGAAACCTCTACAGTAGTCTAGAATCCATGTATTACAAGGTCTGTTACCTACACAGTAGCCTAGAATCCATGTGTTCCAAGGTCTGTTACCTCTACAGTAGCCTAGAATCCATATATGTATTACGAGGCCTGTTACCTCCACAGTAGCCTAGAATCCATAAATGTTATAATAATCTAGCCTCATTCATAAATCAGAGTGGAATATATGATCCCTTGTTATCGCTGTCCATGACCAGTGATTATTCAGGATATTAATTTATAAATTTCTATTTTCAAGATGTTGAAGTTCGATGTGATGAAGATGATGGTTGGGCATCTGTCAATGATAAATGTTACAAATATTTTAGTGATGAAAAAAAATGGCAGGATGCCGTTAATTACTGCCGCAATGGTTTTGATGCCGAGTTAATTGAAGTGGAAAATCAAATAGTCCAAGATCACGTCACAAAACTAACACTAAATAGTGCAATGTGGATTGGATTATCTGACAAGGTAAATACACAATTACGTAGTAAAATAATTTTACATTTTCTCTCAAGATATACTATATATATTGTCAAGTTCTCAGTAAATTCAAGATAATTCTGGTTGAGCTGTATCTTAATGTGATTTTTACCTAATTTCACCTCTGTTAAAAGGGTATCCACAACAGAAGCGCACAAAAACCAAAAAATCATTTATTGCAAGGTGGTTAATTAGAAAATTACTAAATTCTGACCATAGATACACCACTTAATTGTCATTTACAAATCCACGTACACTACTAATAGAGTAAATACAGTAACCATAAATCACTGAAATCAAACATTTTGAAAACAGTTTACATTCACTGACTTTATGCTTATTTTTTTCTAGTTGAGTGGACAGAGTGGTGTGTATAAATGGGTAGATGGTAGTATACCGACATATGAACACTGGGGACCGAGCCAACCTGCCACTGTGTAAGTAATTACAGATTTTAGTTTCGCATAAGTTAGTCGTAATCTTTGGTGCGAGTCGTATTGACAGGTCCAAGGTTTCATGTATGGTGTACAGTTTAATAAGAGTTATTCCTATTGGCCAAAATCACATGCAAAAAAAAATTTGTTTTATTTTGTCAAACCTAAAATAACAGGTGTCTGACACATAAAAAAAACACAGCACTGAAGAGGCAAATGGGTAAAAACATTCATGAAAAACCAACTGTAAAACAGATGAATGAAATAACCCAATCTGATTAAAATCTGATGTAGTGTACGGGCTTTAATTATTTTGGCTATAAACTTATTTTAATTTAATTTTTATTACTTTTGTTATTGATGCCCTTTTATTTCATTATTTTACTTTGATTTCGATTTTGTGATTTTTTTTTAATTCCGCCCTACCTACATCTGATCCGACGCCTATGTAAGTCCCGTTCAAATCTCGCGTAAGTAACAGCCAATCACAGCCCCCCTTTTATACAGGCTGTCGGTTGCTTACTTTTCAGTGTATACGGGCAATCT